CACCTGCGTCTCGCATTCTACAGAGCTTACCTCTGGTTGGTCGTCCATGCCCACATTACCCAAGTCTACCTCCAGATCGCGAGCACTGTCCATCATCATTCTCCTCCGCATCTCATTCTCTGCCATCTCTTCTTCGAATCGGTCCTGAGACAACCCAGGAGTGTAAAAGTCATCAGTCCCGGCATTCCCAATGTTGTAACCACTGTCGTGTAGATAAAAAGACATTTCGCTGTCCGGTGGCACAAAGTCGAATGCTGTCCTCCCCGTCGTCGTCCTCTGGTCTGCCGAGGCGCCATTGTCGAGAAGCATTTTCGCGATGCCTTTATGTCTGTTTGTCATGGCCCACATCAGGGCCGTCCACTCGTTTCTGTCTTGTCGGTCGACATCGGCTCCGGCGTCGATAAGGGCCTGCACAACACCTTCGTGACCCTGCTCGCTCAGACGTTCAATCATCAGCATGTTATTGCTCGTTGCTTCCATGCCTCTAGGGTCTGAATCCACCTACAAAACAGCTCGCATAGATAAGGGGTGGCGTTCCGTCGTCGTCCGGTGCGTTGATGTCGATCAATGATCTTGCGTCGCCGCCCAGTATTCTTCTGACCCTCGCCACGTCGCCGTTGCTAGCGGCCATATTTAGGGCCTTCTGCAGCAAATCCTTCTTTTCTGCTTCGGATAACTTGTCGTCGGCGAGGATGGCGTTTTCGTCATCGAGAACCGGCCCGACTTGCAGGTGAGCAGCTTGAGCAGCAAGCATTTCCATGAGTCGCGTGTCGCTGGTAGGCGGGCGCTGGGTGACGACATCCTCTTCGAAGGTCGGATCGTCTAATGTCAAGTTGCTGAAACTCAGGGGTTTGGCGGGAATCGGGGAAGTCAGGAACTGGGATTGTCCTGGAAGGCGGGGGCCTGTTTAGTATGCCTATGTCTTCTCTGGGCACATACGGAGAGCTGGAGGGGTCGGGAAGACAAGAAACACAGGGAAACGAAGTGAGAGTGACTAACCCTGCCAGCCATCATACATTTCTGTCTCTGGAACGAAATCGGCGGGCCGTGATCTTCGATCATCTAGTGATTTGGGTAAGTCGGCTGGTAATTGGCGCGGCTTTTGCTGGCCATTATCGCCGTTTGAATTCCCCAGGTCCATGGTGAATGGAGGGGCAACGTGGGCTTTCGGTTGGTGGTACGCATCAGTGGGAGGACATTAAAACGGATGACACAATGGGTATCTCTGGGGGAATTTGAAAAGGAGGAGATAGACGTGCACGACTACTTCGTATGTCGTCAGAAGGTGAGCCGGCCGCCCTCCGGAATGTGCGATTCGATGGATTCTTGTCGTGTGAGCGAGATGTTGCTCGATGCCTAAGCCACTGGCGTCCACCTGGAAGTTTGGGGGATAATGTCGGTAATTGATGTCACTCCTTGGTCTGTGCGTCACTCCTCTGAAACTGACTGTAGGTAATTACAGGTTAGGTACCTAGGTACAGCTCATTACGTACCTACCTACCTTACCTAAGGTATGTACCTAGGTACTTGCGTATAAGATACTTCAGTGGAACCCACATTTCTAACATTGAGTTTCCTAATGAAGTACATAAAAGTAGTCGTCTACGGCGAGTGTTCGTATCAAGGGTGCATTATGGCGCGTAAGGCGTGCACTAACCAGGTGAAAATATCAGGCACGTTGAAAATTCGAATTGCGACTCTCATGGTCTAGGGAGGGTAGGCCTGGCTACTAGGTAGGCAATTGGAAGCGGCGACAAACAACCAGCTGCTCTGCTCCGTCACAACCTCACAACCTCTTCCCAAAGATACGCAGTCTCTTCACCCCGCCGTCCGGAATCATAATGAGCTTGACGTGCGTCACAGCGCTATCTCGCAGCGAGCTCTCGAACTCATGCTCTTGATCAGGCCCACATTTGCTCGGAGGCACAAGTTCCTTCCACCCCTCAGCATCAGGGCCCGGATCCGAGTTCCCTTCCCAGGTGATCGCCTCGACCTTAACCTTCTGAGGGAAGTTACCGCGGAAATGCGCCGTGTCCACGAGCACTTTTTGGATGTAACCCGCGGCTCCCAGTCGGATGATAGTCCAATCCACGTGGCCTGGTGTCCGTGACCGCGCCGTCTCCCACCCATCGCCCATGTCTTTGCCGCGACCCGGCAGCAAAAGGTTGTCTTTGGAGCCGAAATGCTGGTCGCTGCAGGAGATGGCCACGCCGCCGTTCTGGGCGGCTGCTAGGTCGAAGATGGCGTCCTTGTCCTCGGGGAACACGGGAACGGCATGGCCGTAGAGCCGGAATCTAGCAATGCCGCCGTCAGGGTACATGTTAAGACGGACATGGGTGTATTGCTTCTTCGTCGGTTCGTCCAGCTTCCACCCGAACCGCTGTGATGGTCCACATTCCTGGTGGCCCAAGATGGTCTCCCACTTTCCTCGGCCACCCTGCCATGAGACCACCTCATCGTCGTCGAGGCTGAAGCAGCCCTCGACCGAAATAGAAGGCGCGTGGTTTCCGCTGAAGAAGGCGGTGTCGACCTCGACTCCTTCAACGGTGCCAGATGCCACACCGAGGCGAATAATAACCCAGTCGAAGGGCTCCGGGTTATGTCGTCTCGTCTCCCAGCCGTCATACCAGGCGCCAGTATACACCATCTTGCCCGGTTGCCTGATTGGCGGAGTCGGGGTAATGAGATTGGTGGCATCAGCGAACCATTGATCGGACAAGGCGAGGATTTTCCCACCAAGCGCTCCCGAGACAAGATCTGAGAAACGTGGCGTGGGTGCCGCCATTTAGTTATTTATTATCTCGTAACAAGTGCCACCGTATCAGGAACTCACCGATGCAGTTAGAGCGGAATGTCTTGTCTATTTCTTCGGATGCTATCCGAGTGGCCTTGACCGTATCCAGCTGGTATTCTTGGGAAGTCATGGTGAACTGCAATGGCGGATGCCGAGTTGTTGTACTTCGCGGGTTCAAAGCTGGAGTCTCGCCGGGGCGCAGGGAGTTGTCGTTTGAGATAAGGCAGTAAAAACTCGCCTTTCGCGATGAAGGGGGCGGTCCACCGTTTCGAATTGGAAAGTGAAAACGAGGATAGATGAACGGTTTCCCAAGACGTGGGCTCCCAAAGTCAAGACCGAGACTTGCACCGTATTAAACAGTGATAGGGTATGGTAAGCTGGTACGTAAGTGATCATCGGCCACCTCCGATATCCGTCTGAGGTACGAGTACCGTCGACCACCACCAGTTAGAGTGTACGAACGCCTAGCTGCCAAGAAGTGCAATAAAGCGGAAGGTAATAATTACAGAGAGGTCACAGACCACTGAATAACTTCGTGGACAGCGACTCCTCATTTACCCCGCATAGGATACCAAGGTGCCTTTAGGACTCTCGTTATTAGGTACTGAGAACTCACGTACAAAGTAATTGCTTCGGATCTTGTCCATTGTATCGCCAATGTCACAGGCCACGATAAATTCTCCCTGATTATCACGACTTGACTCGCAACTTCTTTCCCAGAAGATACAAGGTGAGGAAACCGATGGATTCATCCTAATTCCCGAGGTTGACTCAGGGAGGTACCTCAGTACCTAAGGTACTGTAAAAGGAAGCACCTCACTCAGCCCCGCCATTACGAAACCTCAGATGAATGATTACAAACCATGGATTGGTCTGTTTTATCGTCAGGCCGACCGTACCGAGTACATATAACTTCTCGTTCGCTTCATGTGCACATAGCTCCTGTTTTTTTGGCTTCTTTCTATCCCTGCTCGTCCGTCCAACGGTTCGACCGAGTAAAAGGACAACAAGGTCATCAAAAACCACATATGGTGCTGTATTCTCCTTCTGCTTAAGGTATCGAGTCCTCTCTTATCTTTCAAATCATGGCCGATGCATCGGTTAGAACCCCACTCTTGGGCCACATCTCCCGACAGCCGATCAGGGACCCGCTGGTCAGGAACCTCTGGAGCGGTAATGATACACCCCCTTTGTGTGCCCCCGTCTCCCACCAGGCGCTCATGAGTTCTTTTTCTCGGTAGATGTTGGGTTGATCGCCCAAATAGGCGTCGCCAGCCTTGTGATAATCGTCTGGGTCTCAGTCTTCCTTCGCCCTCTGATCCTCTTCTCGGGCCATCCGCTCGCGCAGAGCCTGGGCGTGCTGGCTCTGACCCAAGCCATTCTTATTCTCCAACCGACGCACGAGGCTGATCAAAAGCGCGTCGGCCAACGCTCCCACGCCCTATTGAACCTAACTTCCTTCGTCTTCTTCGTCACCGGAGTCAGCATTATCGAGGTCAACAAGTTCAGGAGCAGTGGCCCGCATTGGCACTCCGTTCACGGCGTCCTTGGCATCATCTTGAGCATTTGCCTTCTCTTGCAATATCTTGTCGGTGTTACCATGTGGGCCGTACCGAAACTTTATGGCGGGACCGACAACGCCAGGGCCATCTGGAAGTACCACCGGGCCACAGGTTACATTATCTACTCCGGCTTGCTGGCCACGATCTTCAGTGCGTTGTGGACCGACTACAACAAGAATGTTCTGGGAATCAAGTGGTGGTATATCTTGGTTCCCGTCCTCGCTGCTTTCGTCAGTGTGAATTTTCGGATTAACCTGGCAAAGTTCGGCCTCTCTGGAAACAAGGTCCAGACAAGGCAAGGAGAGCAAGCGGAATAACATAGCCAAGTGAACTCTGTTGGTCAGTCGCACTCGACAGCTGTTCCCCGGTGGGCCATTTTGATGGCAGAGTTTATGGTCATCGAAAGCGCCGGTTGTGGTTCAAGGGGTTGCGAATACCATCAAAAAGGACATAGGTAAAACATAGACGGTCTTGTCGAGAGGAACGGGGGAAAGCCCTAAACCGGCCCCGATACACTTTTACCCTAGTGCACTTCACGTTGAACTGCTCAGCATGGTCATCTTACGTGGGATGAAAGAATACGAACACCAACGTGCTCGGCTTTTACGGGGAGCAGGTACTACGTGACATGATGCTGAGCCAGGATATGGGGCAATATATCAGCTTGGAATAGCCAGAGACTGGATACTCAGGGGGGATGCGGCCGTCTCCTGTGTTTCATCGAGTGTTGATATCTTTTGTGGCTGCTTCGGCGAGAAGAAGAGCCGATCCTGGTCATATGTAATCTTTCACTGCTTTTCATCGGTTGTTACCCTTGAGAATTGATACACGTGTACTACGGCTAGTTGGAATCAGATTTGATGGAGTGAACGAAAAGGGTCAACAGGGCGGTCCTTGTTGCCCAATATCGAGACGCGATGTCTGAATTTAATCGACAAGGCCCTTTGTTAAGATAATGATCTCCGGTGATCTCCGCAGTTCGAGACGAATACGGAAACCAACATGACGACGTTTTTGGCGTGCTTTGTGCTCTAGACCCTCTGTCATCCCCGAGTTCTACACGTGTAGGGCCAGATTGAACAGTGACCTCGGGAGACCCACCAACACGTCATTCCGCAGGAATGCAGAGATTACCTTATTCGTTACAATTTTACGAATAGGTACGCATATTCGTTCATGCTCGGCTTCTCCTTTAGTCCCGCATCAGACTGGTGGACGAGACGGCGGGCGAAGAAGAGAATAGAAGAAGACATGGGCAGTAAGTAAACGGCGACCAGCGAGGCCACCGACAGGTAAGAGGTAATATTAGTTTATTGAGATAACCTAAGGTAAGGTAGTTCAAATACCTACGTACTGTACTTCGTATTCTTCTACCGCTCGAAAAGGAGTGGAAAATACGGATAGGACATGCTCGGATGGACTCGGCTTCCCTTATCGATATAAATACTTGGATTCTTCCTTGTGCGGCGACTAGCAATAGGAGATATTGAGGTGCGATAAAAGCAGCTCGTCGAGATGGCTATGGACTCCTCGTACGGACACGGTGCTGTCGAAGACACTTATGCAAGGAGACGTTCATTGCCGCGCTACCTCCTGTCGGTTGGGCCCAGGTCGACATCGTACGTTGTATCCACGCGGTAACCTAACATTCAGGCCTTTGCGGGAGGCGTCCGTTATGGGCTCCCAGTTGGGATCTCATGGATATAATAGGATACAATGCGTTTCGGGGTAAGAACTCTACTCGGTCTTTCCTCTCGAACTTTATAGCCGTCATTCGGAGGGTTTTTGGAGGGGCGATATGAGCATGGGGATCAATGCAATCAAGATCGAAGATGGGGATTAGTAGGAGGACTTGGCGCGCAACCTTTACACTACCACGTACAGGGTACCTATAAACTGTATGCGTACGTTGTATGTACGAAGTATTGATGGCGGTCTACGGGAGAACCGTTTACGGGGAGCCGGCGTCGAGCTCCTGTGAGTGGCTCAGCCCTCATCTTGTTGGGCTTGTCGCAAGCTTGACTATGCCTGTTCACAGCAGGATTCCGTCCGGTCTTGTCCTGTTACTACCGGCTTGGCACTCTAACGGAATGAATGGGTGGAGAGGATGGGGTCATGCCTTCCCAATTTCTCGTAGACCTTTCTCCAGCTCCGTTTGTGCTACCCATCGCGCATAGCATACAGTACTAATTACCCGGGTGTCGGCCTCCAATTTGGGATTTTTGCATGTAAAGGTAAGGTAGTATCGTACCTACCTGAGAGACAAGAAGAGAAAGAGCAATTGCCACCCTGCGTATTATAATGTACGAAGTATTCGGACGTGTAAGTTGAGTAAGTAAGGTAGGTAGGTACTCCGTATGACATGAGCATTCAAAGGTATTCAATGTATCTACGGAGTACTTTCTTCAGCTGTGTTCCAAAATAAGGCATCTCGCGACTGCGATCCGTATGAGGTACTTTGTAAGAATCTTACTCCGTACCTACCTACCTACCTAAGGCATCCTCAATGTTTCCAGCGGGTGGCACGGTTTCACCTACGTCATAATGTGCAGCGTACTACCCACTCAAGGACTGGACCCACCATACCGATTCTCCACTATCCTCTCTGTACGTCTCCCGCAAAAGCCAGGACAGAACTTTGAACTGTCACGTTTCCGTTTCCCCCGTCTCTAAACCTACCTTACCTACCTGCCTATGCGACCGATCTTCTGCACGCACAGAATGGATACACAGCCTTGAACACAACCACCGGTTTTGATCAATAACCAATTACTAGCCGAAATCACTGACGGCATCGTCTACGGAATACTGCGTGTCAGCCTGCCTCACATTTTTATAGGCGGTTTTTTCTTCTTCTTTTTTTGCCCTCCTGTTTTGACAATATCATCACCTCGACAGCGTTGAGGGCCAATTCAACGTGTCTGTACCCTCCTGGCACCTTCGTGGTTTACAACAACAGATATCTTGATCCCCTCAATATTCTGACTGTCCTTTCCTCAACTGAATAGCACCTAAACCCGCTCCATTTCGGAAGTCCTTTCGTCACACAGCCCATCTGCATGGTCTCTTCAACCCCTCCCTTTGCCGAGGAATGCGAAGCCCGAGTCCACAAGAGGAGAAGAAAGACCTGTCCGCCGCGCGTCGATCTCGCCTCACGACACAAGTGACACCCGATCTCACGACCGCCTTGAATTCCGAATCGAAATCTCCGACCCATCGTCTCAACACCGCCGCTCCGGTAATCGATACTAACTCGGGGTTGCCAAGTCATCACCATGGCCATGCAGTGAATGTTGACGCCACGATCCCCACGAATGCGTCAGCTGCGATGCACAACCGAAGTCATCAAAAGCAGAAGCAGGAGCCGCATCTGGCGGAGCGATCTTCGCCATTTGACAGCCCTACACTGTTAACTATCACGGCTCAGACGCCAGTCACTTTGCCAAAGGCGGCGACTGGTGAGGCCCCGGCGCCGAGCCCCAGTTCTCCATCATCCTCTGGTTTCCAGGTCAGGCAGCAGCCTGATTCACAAGACGTCGCCCTATCGCTGTCGCCAGATGACGTATCGGGTAGGACAAAACGGGAGAACAATGACGGGGGGGGTGAAGAGGTCACCACCGCAGCTGCGAAACCCGCTGCTCTGACGCTCTCCCAGGTCCAATTGAACCAATACCGAGAACGCTTGGCCCAGGAGCTCGAGCGGCGCGACATGGCCACTAGGGGGGCCATAGCTGGCCAGGCCAGCAAGACGCGTGTATCGCCTGTTCAGGAGGAAACCACCACCGACTCATCGCCCACCACCAATTCCTCGGCCACGACAACGTCGTCAAAATCGGGCAACACTATCCGCGGCGCCCAGACCCCTGGGCTTATGGCCACTCCTTCATACCCTTTCCCCCGAATGACCACTCCCGGCCGTGCCCAAGGCTCCACGGCTTATCCTTTCTCCATTGCGTCGCAACCGGGTCCGAGATTCGTGCCGCAAGGTATGTCGTTCGACGCTTTCGCAGTTCATGATAAGGTGGTCTCCAGCTCGTCGACCTCGGCCTCTGCACAAACCTTTGGCCCGTCGGGATTTGCCCCTCAATTTGACCATGGGGACTTCCCCACCCCCAACATCTACAACTTGTCACTTATGCTCGCTGCCGAGCCCGGTCTCGACGCATGGTGGGCTACCGTCGTCCAAATTATGCGCGATGTCTTTAAAGCCGAAAGAGTGACTCTCGCCGTACCGGCGGACACCACTGACGTTGATAACGTGCCTTGGGGACAGAAGGCCACATACAACTCGCATGAGAAAGATGGCCTCAGCCTCGCATACATGGCTCCGGGGAGCAGCGTTTTCCCCAGCAGTACCGACGACATTCCCACCGAAGACGCGTTTACCCACCACGACGACTGGCGATATAAGACGCAGTCACGTCCGGGCTTGCAGGCCCGGCACTCGTTCACGTCTTATGAAGACACTAGAGAGAAGCAGACCCGGCATGGCGAGAAAATATCGACAAATCGAAGGCCGACGCCTCTTTCTCGAAGCAAGAGTTATTTTCCGTCACTACAGACACGATTCGATTTTGGCTCGGAGATTGGCGATCCAACACTGGACCCGGCATCGCTTGCTGAACACGATGACGTCCAAGATGAGCAAGTCCCGAGCTGGGAGGCACCGTTGGCGTCCAATACCGAAGGGGCAGGCAGGGTTCTTCCAGTTCTACAGGCCCTCGACTACGAAGCCGACCCCCTCATCGACCATAGTGGGATTAGAAGAGTATTAGAGCGTGGGAAAGTCGTCGCTTTGACTCGAAGCTATCCTTATCTTCAGAACCAATCATCATCGGAAGCGAAGAACAAGCCCCAACAAGAGTCGAAAGCTGCGGGGGATGGTCTCGAGAATCGCCCACGAAGGGCCCGTGCCGACTCGTCCGCGAAGCTCTCAGCTTTGCTCGGGGGTGCAAATGCCCCTCGCGGCGCACGCGGAACGAAAGATCCAGGAACAGACAAAGGGGCACCTTCTAGCTTGATATCGCGACTGGAAGAGGAACCTGAGCCCTTGATATCACATTACGAAGAATCCGAGCAAGCGCCCCCATCCCCCTGGTCACAGTCTCCAGCTCCCTCGCCAGCTGTGCGGGCGGATCCAAAGGAGAACCCTTTCTTTTCCGATGCTGTGGTCGATGAAGAATCCTTCAATCCAAGCACGGCGCCCCCCGATTACTCGTCTCTCAGCCCACCCGAGGCTATTGGAGTGGACAACTCTTGGACGGTCTTGCACATTCCGCTCCTCCACCCCCTGCTGTCCAAACCAATGCAGCCGTTCAAGCCTGAGACTGAAGCTGAGGTCCTGGAGAGCAAAGCTCACTTCCGGACGCAAAACGAAACCCCAACTCTATGGGGCGCCGCCGGGCATGAACAAGGCCGGCCATCGCCTCAGTATTTACCGCGAAGAGACAAGCCTACCCCTATCGCCGTTATCTCTATCCTGAGCCCTATGATACCGTATCCCTCCACTCTCCGACACACGCTGGAGCATCTTGGCTCACACCTGGCTACGTCTTTCTCGCTCTGCCGCCATTACACGAATCTAGAGACCGAATTGGCGGGGCTTCAACGGAGGCGACCCCATACCGCAGGCTTCGGTGCTATCGCAGCTGATGGACGGCCACTAGTCGATCATGGTTTCGTGACTGGGTTCAATTTTGCCCCCACTGGCGGAGTTGTGTCTCAGCAGTCCATTCCCAGCAGCATTACCAGTCCGAGTGACTATTCAGCGGTCTCCAAGAGCGCCGCGGGTTCGCCGGGGGGGACTCCCGGTTTTGACCAAGCTTCCGTCAGCATGATAATGGAGGGGTTGGCAGGATCGAGTCCAGCACTACTATCGGGGCCGACGGACAACTACTTCAGTACCAAACAAAAACCGAACCTGTCCAGAGCGGATACGTCGTCAGGGACCGGCTCCGGCTCCCAGAGGACGCGGAACACACAGGAATCGTCTCCCGTACACAAGCGCAAAGCACGTTTATCCGGGACCAAGCTCCAGGGACAGAATATATTCCCCACATTCGACAGTGAGGGCCCTGCCGAGAGTTTCTTGGATGACACAGCTACAGCACCGTCTAGAGTCTCGTCCAGGGAAACGAAGGAAGTGGCAGATGAAGGGACGGTCCAGGAAGGCCGGGAGGGGACGGTGGTCTCAGATCCACGCCAAAATCGCCACACTCTCTTGCATTCTTATGGAGCTGACTTTGCCTCGACTTTCCAATCACTACCACCGAGCTCGAGTGTCGTCAGCAGGCCCACCTCATCCACCGCCCCATCTCGATCTGGCTCCTTGTCCATTGGCCCCGCTGCGGATCTGCCGCCTCCGTCCGACCGATTGAAAGGTCTGATTCTTGATTCGCTGCCCGCACACGTGTTCGTTGCCCTCCCGCAGACCGGTGAGGTTGTTTGGGTAAACAGCCGTTACCTCACATACAGGGGCCAGACTGTCGCCGACCTTGCTGCGGATCCATGGGGCAGCATTCACCGAGAAGACAGGGATGAATATCTCAAGGCATGGGGACATTCGCTGCGGACAGGAGAGCAGTTCTCTCGGACGGTTCGCATCAGACGGTTCGACGGCGTGTACCGGTGGTTCTACGCTCGAGCTGTTGCGTCCCGAGACAAGCGAGGCGTGCTCATGCAGTTTCTTGGGTCATATATGGATATTCACGACCAGCACATTGCGGAGCTCAAGGCCGCGCGGCAAGAGGAAATCGAGGCTTCAGAGGCGAAGCATCGTTTGTTAGCGAACCTCATCCCCCAGATCATCTTCACCGCCACGGAGGACGATGGCATCACCTTCGGCAATGATCAATGGCTGTCCTACTCGGGACAGAGTTTCGAGGATTCGCTTGGATTGGGGTTCATGGACTACGTACACCCCGAGGACCTGGCAAAGTGCAAAATCCCGACGGACAGATCGCCTACGCCACTCCACCAAAAGACGGCGCTTGAAAAGAAGTCGGGAGGTGGGGACACACTGCCGCCTAGTTCAATGACGAGCACGCCTCGCCCACGAAGCGACTCTTCCCCCGAGTCCAACATCCGAGGCGTCCATCAGGCTTTGTCCCGAAGCAACAGCTCGAGTAGTAGCTCGGTATACGAAATGCCGAGTGCAGATCTGACGGAGTTGGCGAGAAAGGGCATTGTCAAAGTATCGACAGACAGCAGCGGGAGACTCTCGTACACGACCGAGGTTCGCCTCCGGTCCAAAAGTGGCGAGTACAGGTGGCACTTGGTTCGTTGTGTGGAGATCGAGGCCATCGATTTTGGCAACGGGGCTAGCTCCTTCTTCGGCTCGGCGACGGATATCAACGACCATAAACTTCTCGAGGGTCAACTGAAGGAGGCCATGGAGTCCAAGAGCCGGTTCCTCAGCAACATGTCGCACGAAATTCGGACACCACTTATCGGCATCTCCGGCATGGTTAGCTTCTTGCAAGATAGCGTGCTGAATGAGGAGCAGCGAGACTACACCAACACCATCCAGACAAGTGCAAACAGCCTGCTGATGATCATCAATGACATTTTGGACCTATCCAAGGTGGATGCCGGCATGATGAAGCTCAAGTACGAGTGGTTCCACATGCGTGCACTGATTGAGGACGTCAATGAGCTGGTTTCCACGATGGCCATCGCGAAACATCTCGAACTGAACTACGTTGTCGAACAAGATGTCCCTACCTGGGTCAAGGGCGACAAAGTCAGAATTCGCCAGGTCCTCCTCAACGTGATTGGAAACGCCATCAAATTCACGTCGGAGGGCGAGGTCTTCAGTCGGTGCAGGGTGTTCAGAGACGACACGTCGGTCGATGGCCGAAAGGAGATCATGCTCGAATTCGCCGTCATCGACACTGGCCGGGGTTTCAGCAAGGAAGAGGCTGAACTGATCTTCAAACCTTTCAGCCAGATCGATGGGAGCAGTACCCGGCAACACGGCGGGAGCGGCCTCGGACTTGTCATCTCCAGACAGTTGGTCGAGCTTCACGGAGGCAAGATGGATGGTACAGCAGTTCCTGGCAAAGGCTCTACATTCGCCTTTACGGCACGGTTCGCGCTCCCTACTGTAGACGACCATCCTGAAGTGCCTGTGAGCCCACTCTTGACACCGTCAAGACCGGAATTTTCGGAGGTACCCTTGACCCCGCTCGGGTTCAAACCAGTGGCGGCGCAGCCCCAGCCCCCATCGCGTTTGACGTCAACGCCCGCGAGTTCCGACTTGACAGTCGCGTCTGTGCCTTCGAGCGGCGGGAGCTCTGTACCCTCGATCCACTCTAGCCGGTCACAAATGACGGATGGATCGTCGGTGCCTTCCATGAATGTAGGACTGGCCCGGTTCAGCGAAGCTGCGAGGGCAAGCGGTCAAGACTTGTCACAGATGAAGCTGCAAATTCCGTCTGCCGAGACGTCGGCGGAGTCTATTCCCGCTCCCGGGCACAGCGCGACGACGACGAAACCGCCCAGCCCGCCCGAAAGTTTCCGTCCTCTCGTGTACTCGATCCTTATCATCTGCCCGCAGATGCACAGTCGAGAAGCGACGACTCAGCACATCGAGCATACACTGGCCAAAGACGTGCCGCACCAGATCACTGCTCTGGAATCGGTCGATCAAGCCGACGAGCTGATGCGAGGCGAGGACCCAGTCCATTTCACGCATATCGTGCTGAACCTCCCGACGCCGGAACAGCTGATGTCGATGCTGGGCAAGATCGAGAAGTACATGTCGGTGGAGAGGACGACGATCCTCGTCCTGTCGGACGCGAGCCAGCGTCAAGCAGTGATGAATTTGGCAGCGGAGGCCCAGCAGACGGCGCTTCTCTCGGAAGATACGGTGACATTTATCAGCAAACCCGTCAAACCGTCGCGATTCGCGGTCATCTTTGATCCCGACAAGGTCCGGGACTCGAGCATTGATCGAAACCGGTCTACGGCGCAGCGGGTAGTAGAAAGCCAGAAGGCGAGTTACCAAGAGATTGAGAAACGCATGGGCAACAAGGGATACAAAGTTCTCCTGGTTGAGGACAACCCGGTGAACCAGAAAGTGTTGCGGAAGTACTTGAACAAGATTGGGGTGGCGGTTGAGATTGCAGCAGATGGCACGGAGTGCACTGAGATGGTATTCTCCCGTGATCACGCGTACTACTCGTTGATTCTGGTAAGCTTTTTCTTTCTGTTTTCTTTAACACATCATAAGTAGGGATGAAGAGTAGGCCTGCTAACACAGTGTGTCTCAGTGCGATCTTCATATGCCGCGCAAAGACGGGTACCAGGCATGCCGTGAGGTCCGCCAGTGGGAGAAGAAAAACAAGTTCAAGGAACTGCCCATCATTGCCCTTTCAGCCAATGTCATGTCGGACGTCCAGGAGAAATGCGCGTCGGCTGGGTTCAGCGACTTTGTCACTAAACCCGTTGACTTTATCGATTTGAGCAGGGCCATGGCGAGGTTCTTCTGACAGACGTAGGGTCTCCCGCCGTCAGGGATAGACACACGACGCACAACACACAGCATATAAAGGGACGTGGCTGTTAATATACCCCTGTGCCTTATATTCTTTTTACTCCTCTTTTTTTTCGCCCGCTTATCATTCACACCTCGTTCTTCCCTTGTTTTCCCTTCTATATTTTTCCGACTTGTCAAAATGGTAGTGGCGGACTCTTTTAGACGCGCAAAAATGCATCATGATTTATGCTATCAGCCTTAGCATGTGGGTGGCAGGATACACGCATAGGGTATTTTCAGGAAGGAATCATCGGGAATGGTGGAAAACATTGGTGGGGAAAGGAATAGGGAATATTGCGCATCATGATTGACTGACGTCGTGGCGCTGTTGAGGGGAGACGGGGCGGCCCCTAGGCGGTTACAGGCTGGCTTCATCGTCAAGGACGGCATCGGGTCTGCTTCCCCGTGGAGCATGACAGAGCAAACAAGGGAGGGGAGGGCATAAGGTAATAGAGGCAGAGGGCAAAACTTAGTGTGTTAGAAAGACATGCTGGGCTTTTCCCTCTTGTTTATGACTATGCAGCTTTCATGTCTTATGTCTGTCCGCAGATGTATGTGTGTGATGTGATGAAATGGCGAGAAGGGCCATTTTGTACAAAAAGAAATGAGTTAAGTGTTTGTTGTGGTTTGGCGTTTCAGCACAAGCGCCTGCTTTGTTTGCTTGACCTTGGAGGAGGGAAAGGTAATAAATAGGTCGGCTGACCAAGTAGGCGACGCGACAAAAATGCAGGAGTCGTATCCGCGTCGAACAACGATCACGGTTAGGTACCCATCCTTAGGGTGGTGACACACGCAGGCGTCCAAGCGCGGGTTCAGAACGGCCGAGTCGAATGGCCAAGCTTTTAGTGAAAACCAAAAATGAAGTACCTATATTGAAGTTCTTCACGCAAAGAAGAATAACATCACTTTGCATCCATCCATCTCCATCAGTACTCGGATAGTGGGCGGGTGGGCGGTAAGGAAGGCGGAATGTGACTTTTGCCACCAGTATCTGGCAGTTGTCTGGAATTGATTGGTAAGCAGAACGTCACATCTCGGGACTTGGAAAGATACCCTGACCAATAATTACCTAGGTACCCGCGATTTTCTGCCAGCGGCTACGGTACCATTCTGGCGGGTTATGGCGGGTTACGGAAGACAACGGGGCAAGGCATTGTCTGATGCCGGATGCCGGATTGGAGATAGAGGGGTTGAGGAGGGGCAAAAATACTTTTGGCCCAACCAGACCATCGGTAATTATTATCAACAGTCTCATCAGTTGCTCATGCACATGCATCTTGCCTTGATCGAACCATGAACGATCCACTCGTATTTTTTGTTATTACTTTTGTTATTACTTTTGTTATTACTTTTGTTATTATTTTTGTTATTATTTTTGTTATTATTTTTGTTATTATTTTTGTTATTATTTTTGTTATTATTTTTGTTATTATTTTTGTTATTATTTTTGTTATACTATTATTGTTGTTGTTATTATTACTACTATTCTTTTTGTTTTATTTCTTTTTCCTCTGCGAAGTACTTCTTTTCTCTTTTCTCTTCTCTCTGATCTAACCCTTCTCTCTTAGCCCTCGGCATTAACCCATGTCCTTATGACCCTGGTTGTGGCTGGGCAAAGCGGGTATTGCATGTACACTACATAATAATTACCTACCTAGGTGGGTGTGTCATACCTAGATATTTTTCGCCCACGTATCCGTACTTTAGGTACCTATATGTACGGACGAATACCTCGTGCCACAGACTGCCTGTCAAACCCCGTTTGCGCAAACACTCAGCTCTGACTCTCTACTTCGTACTCCTACCATTGACATCAACGTCCCGTTACCAACCCAACCCAACACAACCATTACAAGAAACCTTCCAGTGATTTTTCCTAGGCTGGACCACATCAGTTCGAGATTCCCCTGTATTTTTTCAACGTTACTTTAACTTCCATCTTCCATCTTTCTCTTCCTGTTTTTAAAACAAGACATTATCTCTATTTCTCCGTTATTAATATACCAAACGGGAAACGGCATTCCCTCCTCCTACTTTCGTCCACTTTTCACTTCCGTGTTCCCGCAGCTCCTCACAACTTTGACCCGACAAGGACCGAAGATTTACAAACATGGGTAAGCCTAGGCTTATCATTCTTGTCAGACACGCCCAGTCCGAGGGCAATAGTAAGTTTCTCTGTCTTCTCCGGCCCGCCTTTACTCCCTCTTCGGTTCGAATGTAAGTCGACTAACGGAACCCTCCCTTGTTCTCCAGAAAACCGTGACATCCACCAGACCATCCCCGACCACCGCGTTAAAATCACACCCGAGGGCTGGGCTCAAGCATACGACGCCGGAAGGCGCCTCCGCAAGCTCCTCCGTGAGGATGACACCCTGCAATTCTTCACCTCTCCGTACCGCCGCACCCGCGAGACCACAGAAGGAATCCTCGCCACCCTGACCTCCGACGACCCAGAACCTTCTCCCTTTAAGCGTGACAATATCAACGTGTACGATGAGCCCCGTCTGCGGGAACAAGACTTTGGGAATTTCCAGCCGTGTAGCGCCGAGATGGAGCGTATGTGGCAGGAGCGTGCCGATTACGGGCACTTCTTCTACCGTATTCCCAACGGCGAGAGTGCCGCCGACGCCTACGACCGAGTTAGTGGCTTCAACGAGAGTCTCTGGAGGCAGTTTGGCGAGGACGATTTTCCCAGTGTTTGCGTCTTGGGTGAGTCTCCTGCCCTCTCCTTTTTGTATTGTTTATTGTTTTTTTTTTTTGTTATTTTGACATTCGCTTACGACCAAGACCTGCAGTTACCCACGGCCTCATGTCTCGCGTGTTCCTGATGAAATGGTACCACTTCACCGTCGAATACTTCGAAGATCTGCGCAACGTTAATCACTGCGAGTTTCTCATCATGCGCAAGGACGACGAGTCTGGCAAGTACACTCTCGAGAACGAGCTCCGGACCTGGTCCCAATTACGTCGCGAGAGGGCTCTCTTGCTGAAGGAAAAGGAGGACGACAAGGCCGTCAAATGCTTCGCCCCACCACGACGATGGGGCGGGTGCCCCGACGGATGCAACCACGAACGTCAGTACAAGCGCCGGGAGGACTTGGAGATTCTCCGCCAGCGAGACGAGATGGCCGCCGAAGCCGTGAACGGGCTGCGCTTGCAGAACACCCAGCCGCAACCGCCGTGCCTCCCCAGCCGCCGGTCAACTGTCAAGCGATTCAAACACGGTTCGTACGACTCGAGCGACTCGGACAATGATGCGGCCCGCAAAATGGGCGCCGCTCCACCCCGGCCGGTGCCGCAGATCGATCTAACCCGCGCCTGCGAGGAAGTCGTCTCGTCGCCCGATGCTACGCCTTCCTTTATCTCCGCCGAGGACCGCCTGCGCGGGCTCCAGTCTCCGCACCTCCACGTGGGCCGTGACGGCGGGGGCACGTACTCAGGCCATGCTTCCCTGTCGAATAGCGACGTGGAGGAACCCAGCGAAGACGACGCTGATGGCTCTGGGCGCGTCAACGGAGGCCGAGGCCAGGACCGCGTCGCGTTGCTGGCGGCGCAGTTGCAGAAGCTACCGACGGCGTCGGCCACTGACGCTACCACGAATGGCGGGTCGGGTCATCTTCCTGGTCAGGGACCCGTAGACGTATCGAGGGAGCGAGGCGTAACGACCAGGGAAGACGATTTCCTGGACAATTATGGTAGGAGACTTGGAGCGAGAGCCAACCGTCTCGGAGATACCCACAGTAGTGATGTGGGCTCCGACGGAGGACGGACCGATGAGGACCATGAGGACGATGAAATGACGCGAACGGAAAAGAGAGAAAAGAGCATTGCCGGCAGCGTATACTAAAATAATAGCCTACGCTGACAGCAAAGCATGTTGTGGATTTGTTATTGTCCAGAGGTAATGGTATGGGCTCTGGAATTGCTGGGATGATTCGAGTCGGCGTGCTGGTTTCTAGCGGAAGAAAGAAATGTTTCGGGCTGATCAGGATTTTGCATGGGTTGCATCAGAGCGCTCGAATCCTTTATCCTCTCGCCATACAAGAAGTATGACTCGGAAGACGGACGGAACAGAATTTATACCCCTCTACAATTGTATCGCTAAGTAGGATGGCGCAAGCACCATACCCTTCCTTCATCGAATTCCGGATTAGGACGAGTGATGAGCTCGGTAACAAATATTAGCAGTGATACACTACCCAAACTCTCCAAGGTCTTTGTGACGGAATAGCAGTGTTGAAAACAATTCAGCTCGGTGTGCCGTGGAGAAAAGGAATCCAGGTCGCCGTTTATGTCGAGTAGGTAGTCGAGAGTAACTAACGAGATGAAGTGGTGCAGTGTTCAAATTGAGTGTGGCTTGATATGCGGATAACTGAAAGACAGTAGCATCGCTTTAAGCCTGGTCGGTTAGCTCAGTTGGTTAGAGCGTCGTACTAATAATGCGAAGGTCATGAGTTCGACCCTCATACTGACCATTTCTTTTTGCCTTTTTTCACCCCTCTTTTATATCTAAATTATAATCCCTCCACAAGTCCTTTTCTCTCGCTCCTTAATAAAACTTATAATAGAATATAGACGACTATTATAATAGCTATAGTATTATATACTATATATAGTCTACCTAATATAAGTTATTTGCTTTTCTATTCTTCTTAAAAGTATATATATAGTTAGTACTCTTTATATCTCTTTATAAATATTAGACTTAATATAGAATATAAGAGTTGAGTCGTAGAGATTACTACCGGTTTATAGAGCTTCACTAAGGATTTATCTTAGATATTTAACCTAGTGCCGGGATATAGGGATATTATATGCAGATATTAGGGCAATTACCAAAAGCAGCCAGACAGGATAAAAGGACATTGGTAATAAAAGGGAACAAAAATCATCCGTAGAAAGAGCAAAAGTAAATGGTCAGTATGAGGGTCGAACTCATGACCTTCGCATTATTAGTACGACGCTCTAACCAACTGAGCTAACCGACCATTTGTTGAAGGGCTGGCACCTAGAATTGCACTGTGAATGTTTCGTTGGCGCAAACCATACAGCCTCTGGGGCTGGCATCACACAAGGGATACATAGATAACCCCCTACCTGAAGCCATTAGCTATTAGACGTTTCCTCCGGGACGGGCACGATCGGCGTTTGACCACCTGCAGGCCAGACAGAATATAATCGCTTCGGGATATTGGTTTGGACTCTACACTAGATGGGTGGTTTCTCGATCAGACACAAGGATCCGTTTGCATTCTAGGATACAAGCTCTTGGGGGAAAGTTCCGCAGAGGGTGGGTTTGAGTAACAGGGTCAGAAGGATGACAAAGGTCACATAGACTTTGGGGCCACAGAACGGACACGGGGAAGGAAGGCGTCACAGCTTATCACTACTCTTTTCACAATACAGATGGACTTTTTTACAGATTGGCTCGTTTATTCAAGCCGTTCCGTTCAGGTCATGTTGCCCTGATCAGATTAAGCTTTGCATATCATAGCCGTTTTGTAGGCTGAGATGTGGTGGAGATTTGCTTTACTGGTTTCTGACTATCCAATCACTATCACAACCACAACTGCACAACTCCAGAAGCCACTAGACGATTTCGCCCGTCTTCAGCCGTATTCGGGATAGAAGGTCAGCGATGAATTTAACTCTCTGGTTACTCCTAAATTTTGCATCACTACGTAGTACATGCCCACACACTGCCAAGCTGCTGTTAACCTTGTGACACTAGCCTCTTACTCTTTAAAACTATGTATTTTTTATAGGAAAAAAAAACTAATAATACGGATTTTCGCAAGTTAAAAGTATCACGACGAAAAAACTACAAAAAGAAATGGTCAGTATGAGGGTCGAACTCATGACCTTCGCATTATTAGTACGACGCTCTAACCAACTGAGCTAACCGACCACTTGTTGAAGACGTCAACGTGCGTAGAACCTATATTGCTCGCACGATGCTATTGGCCATCTCCTCTGCAACCGACTGTGTCATAGCAACGACACTTTGGCCTATTATGATGATGGCGATTTCCGATGACTGTAGGCACCACTGCTCTGCCTACTTCTCCAACTTTGCGATTTGTTCCTGGCTTTGGAAGAGACACCACCAAGCCTTAACATTCGGTACCCCCGGTTTCGTTCCTCATCCGCCTACTGTCGTACCCTACTCAATAGTGATTCCAGGACTTCGCTGCCCGCAAGCACAATTGGAGAGGATGCTTGAAATCATGGTTGATTAGTCCCGATACCCGGGCTAATACGATTACCTGCCATTGAAATTCACAGGATTGTTCCGAGCGTCTTTTAGCAAGAGGCTTTAATGTTGACCGAGCCACACAAGACACAAGTCTAGAAGTACCATACAGTACCGAGACACTACCTCCGGAGGTACACGTGTAATTACGTAGACTGAACATCGTTGTATGTACACTGTACATTATGCTCGACTTCCACCAGACCTGCACTGTACCGAGGTGACGTCTAGTAGCTTGTCCCTGTATCCTCCTACCTCACTCACCCCTTGAGACTGCAACAGCTCGATTTCAACCCACGCGACAAGCAATTTGCGACATACGAAGCTATCTCTACAAGCGCAGCCGAGCCAGCCTCAACACGCACAGGCGACCCTAGTCTTCTAGTCTGTGTGATTTCGACGAAGCAGAGAGGGACAAGCCAAAGAAGAAGAAAAAAAAATCCAGACACAGACAGACGGACAGCACCAACGAACAGGCACATAACAGACATAACAGCCCCCCCTCCCCCCCCCTCCCCCCCCGACGCCACCATGTCAGGCGAAGGCCCCGAATCCATCCCCACATCAGCGGACCCGCGCTCCAAACGCCCAACAAAGAAGCGGGCACTGACCCCGACGACCGCCCAAGCAGCCACCGTCAACGCCCTCTTCTCGAAGCCGGAGCAGGAAATCCGCATCCCGCGCCCGGGGCCGTCCCGCCCCTCCGTCGCCGCCCCGCCAGAGATCGTCACCAACGTGCAGGGCTCCAGCGCCGGCGCCGGCTCGGGCGAGTTCCACGTCTATAAGGCGGCGCGGCGGCGCGAATACGAGCGGCTGCGGACCATGGAGGAGCAGCTGCGCGCCGAGAAGGCGGCCGAGGGGTTCGAGCGCGCCAAGCGGGAGCACGAGGCCCGTGACGAGGAGAAAACGCGCAAGAATAGGGAGAAGAGGGAGAAGAAGAGGGCGAAGCAGAAGTTGAAGCAGAGGCAGAATGGCGGAGGGGCAGGGGGAGGGGATGGGCAAGGCGGTGCCGATAAGGGTCATGCGAACAACCATGATACGAATGGCCAGGCGCCTGGAGGAGGAGAAGGAAGGATTGCTCCGAGGAGAGACGTTGGGGCCTTTGAAGGAGGGGATGCTGGCGATAGGGACGGCTCTGGAGCGGCCCGGGCAACGAATCGTCAGGGGACGGCCGGCACAGTTCCTTCTGAGCTTCAATCACAGGGACTGGTAATCCACGAGGAGGATTAACGAGAATGGGGGAAAAGGAGAGAGGAGGGCAGAACCGGATATTAAAGGGGCGGGAGATGTGTAAAGCATATTCTGTTATACTTTTTTTTTGTCACGATAATTACCTGTACAGTTACTCGGGAAGGAAAAAGAAGATTATTTTGTTCAGGGGAGAACAGACTACAACTGACACAACAGCCGACCATTCTCGAGAATGTTCGTCTAAAATGCGGGTTTCTTTTTCTTCTTCTTCTGATTACCGTGCCGTGTACAAGGGGCAGAGTATGGGTATGCCTCGTGGTCTTTTCCCCAGCATTCTCCTTCTCTACTACGTCCACCTACACCACGCCCACATCCGTCTAGTCGTCACCGCCACCCAGTCCAATACCAGGGTGTGCCGATTTCCTCGCGCTGCAAATATCGTCGACTCTCAGGAGCAAGCAAGCCGACTAAATCACACGCACTCTGTGTCAGTCGCAATTTATCGGAAGGGAGAGGACAAGAGAAAGAAAAGAAAAGAAAAGAGGAAAAAAGAGGAAAAAAGGAATTCTTACCTCGATAGCCGTCTTGATACTCTGCAGCTTGATGGCCTCAGGCTCCCATACGCCATATTCCTTCATGTCCACGACAGTGCCGTCGTCTCCGTTGATACCCCACGTCGACTTGCCCTCGGCATGCTTGGCGCGCAAGTCGGTCAGCACCCGCACGGGGCTGGCGCCGGCGTTCTGGACCAGCGTCCTGGGAATGACCTCCAAGGCATCGGCCACGGCCTTGTACGGCCACTGCTGCACGCCCTCGACACCCTTGGCGAGTTGGCTGAGCCTCACTGAGACGGCCATCTCGGTGGCTCCACCGCCAGGTGATAATCTGGGGTGGAAGATGACGTTCCGGGCCACTCCCATGGCATCTTGCAGGTTCCGCTCGATCTCGTTGAGGATATCCTTGGACGGTCCCCGGAGCAGGATGGTGCACGCCTTGGGGTTCTTGCACTTGGTCAGGAAGGTGAAGTACTCGTCGCCAATCTTCTCGATCTCGAACAGACCGCACTGGGTGCCGACATCCGACTCTTGCAGGTCTTCGACGCGGTTGACAATGGTGGCACCGGTAGCGCGGGCTATCCGGTTGTTGTCCGTCTTGCGCACTCGTCGGAGGGCGGTCACGTTGGCCTTGACGAAATAATGCTGTGCGAGATCTGTCAGGCAAAGGCATCGTTAGCGTTGGCTCCTCGTGCAATTATCGCGTCATGATGCTTCCATCGTCAAGCCGGAAGTCATGTCATACCTGAGACGCCCTTTTCCGTGATGACCAAGTCCGGTTTGAGCGCCACGATGGCCTCGCACATGGCCTTGATCTGCTCCTCCTCGATCTGCAGGATGCGGTTCCAGTCCTCCTCCTTGGAAATCTCGATGTTGGTTTGCGACTCGCCCTTCTTATACTCGAGCGGGCAGTCGAGCAGAATAATCCTCGGGTTCTCGATCCTCCTCCGCATCTTGGGGTGGGTGATGTCCTTGTTGAGCATCACGCCGTCCAACACCGTGCTGTCTTCGATCTCGCCTCCCGGAACCTTCTCGACACGAGCGTAGCGCTTGATGTCGACTTCCCTCTTGCCATTGCTGACCTCCCATGTGACAGTGCGAACGGCCCTGAGGGCGAGATCGCACATGAGGTCCGACCACCGGGAGACGAATTTGGTGCCAATGGAGGAAGAGATGAGCTTGTACATGGCCTGGTCGTCATTGATGTCAATGGGCAGCGAGATGTCGTCGACGATCTCCAGGGCGTCCTTCAAAGCCCGCTTGAAGGCTGCGATGATCTGAACCGGGTGGATGTTCCGCTCCAGTTGCGGCAGAGAATGTGCCAGCATCTCGCCAGCTATTCATTATGCAAAACCCCGCCATACGTCAGCTCTCAGCCGTGCGAAAAGACCGCCGGGATACGCCCGCCCGTTCTATCAACTAACCCAATATAATGACAGTCGTGGTGCCGTCGCCGACTTCCTCGTCTTGTGTCCGGCTGAGCTCGATCATGCTCTTGGCGGCTGGGTGGGACACCTCGATCTCACGAAGGATGGCGTGGCCGTCGTTGGTGAGGACGATACCGCCCATAGGGTCAAGCAGCATCTTCAACATGGCTTTCGGTCCGAGACAGGATCGGATGATGTCGGCGACGCTGTAAGCGTAAGAGGGTAAGTTTCCGTAGCTCTTTCATAGCTCGAGGAGATTTGGAACGGAGATTATAGGTGGAAAAGGTAAAAAAAAGAAAAAGGGGGAGGGCGGCATACGTCTTGGCTGCGGCAATGTTCGACATCTGGGCCTTTCGGCCAACCTGCCGCTCACCGCTCTGGGTGTCTGTTGACTCTTTTATCAGCATGCGAACACGAAACATGGAGCCAAGCTCACAAGGGCATTAAGCAGTAAGGGGGGGCGTTGTAGAGGACGCACTCATTACCAGCACTGGAGCTTGCATGGTGGGCGACGTTCTAGTAATTCGACGTCACAGGTGTAAATGTTAATTCTGGGCAAACTCGAACGGGGAGGGAGAGGACGAGGTTAAAGCCACAGAATAAAGAAGGGAGAGGGAGAATGTGTTATGGTTGGTGGGGTGGTGTTGGTCGACTCGCTGCAGGAACTGGAGCCTACAGTAAAAAGTTGGATGGTCCCAATGTTCACAGGTGGGATATTCGGAACGCGGGAGAAACTGTTAGACCGGGGTTTAGTAAGCCGCTGTAATTAGTGGTACTTCCGTGGTACGTTGTAGAGTGTACTTGTATACAAGATCTCCCCTCGGCGGCTTTGTGCCAAGCATCGTCTGAGCCTCAACCGACGACACATGGTCACAAGTCCCAAGTCCTAACGTCCTCCTCTCTTGAATCTGATCTCCAAGTCCCAGTGTGAGAGTCTTCGTTCACTCTGTTCGATCTCACTTTCAGCCCTAGCATGGTAGCCTCCTCGGCCACTTGGAGATCAGGACTCTGGTGTCCAGATTTATATGCATAAACTCTGAACGCGAACATATTTTTCCCCTGTTCTGATAAGAATGACACTTTCAACTTTATCATAGTTTTTGAAGAAAGGCCATATCGACTCATCAGTGGCAGTCCTGAATCTCCCGAACTCGAAGATACAGGAAGCAAGTCCATACCAAGAGTTTGATTTCCCCGTGAAATTGCCAGGCAGCCTGCTCAGGCTTCATTGTCATATCTCCAGCTGTTCCCGCTATTTTATATCAGAGTCTCCTTAGCCTCATCTGTGCACCGATTCTCACCCCCTGGTGCTGCCTCTTGATAAGTTCCTTTTTAGAAACAATCCCCATTGGTAAAAGTAATCCAACAACATGCAATCAATGATTATGCTTTCCTCCGTAGTGCCTCTTACCGTACTTGTCTTTTCTTTGCTTATGCCCACGGCACCGTATCGTGCCTTTACTCGACACCTCTTTGGTTTTCTTGCTCATTCTCTTACAACGGCAGATGTCTAGACGTACCTTCTTCTACTTATCCCATCTGATATTGACCGAGGTCTATGAATCAACTCCGCACATTTGCTCGGTCTGGGCCCAGCTTCGGTCTTTATTTTTCTGACCTTTGTCTCCCATAAATCAGACAGTATCTCTCTTTGAACGAGTTATTCTTCTCTTTAGTTACCCTTCTTTCAAGGCACTCAATCTCTTTCGTGGCAGACAAGAATACACCATTAGCAAAGACGAGATTCACAACGCTTTAAGAGTTCGATGATAACTCTCTTATTCTCGGTCTTATCTGAAAATACGAGAACCATCAACTTATTCTAGTCAATATATCCTAGCTGGGATGGGTGAAAAGACTCACCGGCCCAAACGGCCTGCCTCCACCCCAGTCGGTGCACAACCTGACCTCAAGAAGCGGATCACTGGTCTCCTGGAGGAGACTACCACAGGAAGTTCCCTCACACGACCACTGGCAGGTAGGATTTTCACTGGAGAACGTTAATTGGAGTTGTCCCAACTCACCCAATTCATGGCAGCCAAATTGTCTCTGGACCCATCTGATATCGTTCACACAATTCCCACAGAGGAACAATGCCAAAACAGGCAGACTACGGGTATGTGATACTTTGCCCTGTAACTGGCTTCCCTGCTTCCTCGAAGCCCAGAGTGAGAGATTAGAAGCTGATCTCAGCCTATAGTACCTCTATCGCCACCTGATCAGGCAAGCGCACAATCGCAAGTACCTGCCAAAAGCAGAGATAAAACGAAGGGCAAGGAGAAAGAGCCCGATAAGACTGTGTCGAAAAATCAATGGCACCGTGGTCAGTGTTCAGTCCAGCACCGACTGCCTTATTTTTCGCACTTGGGTTAGTAGGCCAAAGAAGAAAAAGGAAAATCTGACCAGGAGACAGATCCGTCTCGTGTAAAACAAGTTCAGACACCTCTGGGTTTAGGCGACGATACCAGGGGACCTCTCGACACTATAACTACGAGACTCAGCGCGATGTCAATACAGGAGAAGATACAGTTCGCCATCCAGCTTGGATATAGGGGAAAAGTACAGGTTGACAGACACACGATACGCAATCAGCAAGCCCGAGAGGACTCGGTTGAACGTCTCAACACCGCCATGTCAATGGGCCATTACAAAGCAGTCGACTTGGCTCGACATATTTCTTCAACGCTGGAAACAGAGCAGGTGCCAGATGACGCCCCAGAACTCTTTCACATCTGGGACATTAGCCAGTCCCCATCCAATGATCCCGTGCTAAGGCCCTTCGACACATGCCTCCCGAACGCTGTGCAGAGAAGGCTCGTGTCACGGCACAGAAACGGAAGAATGCCTTTTGTGTTAGATACACCCATTTCATCGCCTTCCGTTTTGACAAGGACAAGCTAACATTCTTATAGGATGGCTTCTAGCAGACGACTTCAAGCTGCCGCAGGCGTGTTCAACGAAAATATCTTCAGGCTGCCTGGTGTTCGGCAACAGGAAAGACTACCTTACCAGATCATGGATATCGAGCCCCCAGCACCACGGTGCAGCGCACTGGACGCAGAGACGAGTTTCCGTGGACTCTTTGAGAGGTCCAATGCGTCTGGATACCGAATGATGACCCTGGCCTCGATTCACTTTCAGGTGCCCTATTCAACATTACCGTTTCCTCTGGAATGTCACCATCCTCAGCGCGAGCTGCCACTTCAGACCGGGGCACATCTGCGTGCAACAAAGGAGGGATCGATCACGGTATTCGAGCTGAATATGTAAGTCTGAGCACAACGCTACTGGACAGGGACGCCGTATCTTCCTCCAGACTCGGTCGACATCTAACACGTGCCTGGCCGCTTAGAGATGCTTGCGTTTGGTTCGTCTTCGAGATGAATCTACCCCTCGCGGAGGTCGAGGGCCATTGTCCCCCCGAACTGGAGCCGATGCCAATGTCATGTCTCCGGCTCGCGGTTCCTAAAGACAAGGTCACGACCCGCACTACTCCTGCTCCCCCGACACCCGACATAGAGCCACAGCGAGCCAGGCAAAGGTTGGAACTCTGCCGGGATAGTATCCCGCTGTTCGTGACGGGGAGCAAGAACCTCTACATCCCGAGTGAACACCATGGTGTGGAGGACTTCTTCCAGGCGACCAAGGTGACGGGCATGGCGTGCAGGTGGCGCGACAAGAAGACGAAGAAATGGGCCAAGCGTCGGGAGAAGTTTGCGTTCTGGAAGGACTTCCAACGGGCGGCGCAACTGGACAAGACCCAATGGACTCTTGTACAGGAGGCCATGGCGCGAGGGCAGTGCGTTGTCGATATGGACATCCTCGAGCCTTGGAGAGATGTACCGCGCACTAAGACGGCGCCTACGGACCCCTTATCGAGAAACTCACATCAGGCCACACCTCTCAGCCCCAAAGGCCACCCTGAAGAAACCCCGGATCAGCGTCGGAAGCAGCAGAGGTCGTCTGGTCTCCGAAACGAAGTCAAGTTTTGAACGGCTTGCAGCCACAGGGGGGGCGTGGGGATCATGGACCAGACCAGCAATGCCGGGGAATGAAGAAACCCAACATCGACTCCAAGCAACCCCCGACCCCCAATCCCCTGAGCCATATCATCGTAGCTTCGGTATAGGAAGTGGGGGGCGAAAGCGTCACGACCAAAAAAGTCGTCCTCGGCCGGCTCTTGGTTGTCACATCATCACATCGCGCGGCATGCTTCGGTCCCTGTGTCTGGTCCTTGGCATCTGTCCCATTGCTGCCCGACACGATGTTCTCCTCACTGCGTGCAAAACGTTGCTGCTGCGCGCCAATGGAATTTTCATTCGCTTTTCTAAACCAGCATGACAACCCGACTCCCCGCATCATAGGGGATGATTTCTTTTTCCTTACATCGCTACCCGAGGACAACTGCAGCTGCCACTAAATGGCAGGACAGCCGGCAAATGAAGAAGATCGTTTGGTCGACTGCTGCCAGTTATGTCTACGTGGGCATTGGCTCGCCCCAATGAGGTAGGAATGTGAAGATGGGCAAGATGAACATTGGGAGCTTGGCTTATAGTTGATGCGCGATGAGCAAGGCGAAGTGGCGGAAAGTAGGGTGGACAACGGCAATTGGGCAACCGGGCTTGTAGTGTAGCTAGCTCAATTGCACGAATGAATGAAACCCCCCTTCTTGCATTTATGGTTTGCTTTTCTCGGGCTGTGGCTTACCGGTGGGTAAGTGGGCGGTGGTTAACGGACACCCACGATCGTCCATGTCGAGGAGACGTCGAACACGTAGCAGTTCACCACATTCGAGGGGGTAGGGGAAGAGCCCTTAGAGGCTGCAACTCCTTGGTTTTCATACCCTGCGTGGTTTCCACCTTGATAGCGAAGACGAAGACCGCTCCTCATCTTCACCCATTGACTGGTTACCTATCTCCCTGGGGAAGGGAGATGAGAGGCTTCCTTCTTCATCATATTTCGCCAGGACGAGAATCTCCGTGGAGCTGTAGGGTGATACGTACAAACCGTACCGTTTGTTGTCTTCGCCACCGCTATCGCTGACACCGTCCCGCGACTAAAGAGTGACGATCGCTCGAATTAACTTTGTCAATTGGATAGCGTGTCCGTGCCTTCCTCTCTTCTCCAATCGGGCCACCTTAGCCTATCTGATTGATCCCTTTGGCACTTGTTTTCTTATTGTTATCCTCGGTCGGCTGGCTCCGAATGGAAAGAACCTGCCCGTCGTCCCTTTTTTTCGTTTCATTCGCCCCTTGGTCTGGTTGGTTAGTGTTGACCTTTGATAATGTCCCGGGAGGGTGGATGTATGAATGGTTCGTCGCCTCAACACACTCCCAGATGTCGATGTAAAAGGACGATTGAATGGCTGGTAAGGCCAAAGAAAAAGAGAGGGGGGAAAAAGGTCCCCTGTGGGAGTCTGGCGTACACGGAGATGGGTAGCTCTCCTCTCCGGCGTCTCCTTGTTCTCGTCTTCGAATAGGACCCCCTCGCCTGTGCAATGTGCCAGCAATGGGGAGCCGCCAAATGACTACCCATGATGGGCCGTACCTCATGCTGGAATCCTGCTCACACGCATATACATCGACCATGGATGGACCATGCCGTGTATATGTGTCATGCTGATGGAGCCCAGTAATACATTGACTGTCGTCTCGCCACGTCTCACCACACTTCACATGGTACGTGGGGATGATTCCATTTGCACGCATTGATTCGCATTCAGGCATACGATGTTCTCCCCGTTCTGTATAGAGATGCACGGTTTACGCCGGCAATCCACATGGCCGTACGATTTTCAAACCCCAACTAGGAACATATCTTCGGGATGTGCGTTCCAGCGAAGTCGTCGTCGTTCGGCCTTCTCCCCCCTCATGGAGTTTTCCGTCGGTCGAATCGGGAGAATCGTAAAGCCCGCTTCGGATTCCAACAACTGAGCTTGCGCCTATGTCTCAAGATCCCGCATTCTGTGTGCACCCACATGGACCCGGAAACATGAAATGCAGGAGACGGGGCAACCGCAAGCTCCCGGCTGACCGGTGGACACTCGTTGTCTTTCCCCCGAAAGACATTCTCGGTCAAGTTCGGTTTAGGAAACATGCTAATCTGAGACGGTATTTCCTGGTTGGGGACATGTTCAACGACGTCAATAAACCGCAGTTGGCTAGTTCAGGCTCTCGACAGTTAGGTCGTCATTGTCCCTCGTTACACAACAGAGGCACTCAACGACCGGGAACCTCCGCGAAGCTGCCCTGTCCGCTGGCCAGAGCCAAGGCAATCGAGGGGCTCGAGAATCCCGCAGTGCAGGAGGACTGAACCAAGGATGGAAGGAACAATGGCGGGATCTCTGAGAGTCTTCATTCTCCGCATTTCGCCGTTGTCGTGCAGCTCTTATCCAGCAATATGGCATTTCCACCCCCGGAAGCCGACTGTTCGTTATTACGGTCGGAATGTGCGGAACCCGGTCGGAGGCCTGCTGTTAGCCAGAGTAAATATCGGCGTAGAGTAAATGAGGTCGTAAAGGGCAAGGGACCCATCCATTGTCTTATCCGTTCGACATGTTCGAGGTCGAATTTTGTGTTCCAATCTCATTCCAATGGCAACGGGTGGGTGAGAGAGCGTGAGAGAGCTGGAGCTCAAAGATACGTTTCAGGTAGCCTTGCCTGGGTGACGATGGCAGAGCTGCCCAGTTTAAATATTTGAACACGCGAGACAGAGGACCGATCTCCTCTGGAATACTGTGCCTGTCAAGTTGACACGAGTATCCATTGACCACGTCGAACCCAATGGGACGATGTCCGCGGAATCTCGCCCTGGGATTAGAGACTCCGTACCTGGTAGGGACCGAGCCAGGATGTTTTCGAGCTGATAGCAATTGTGACACAGAAAGGGACTCACATGTTGCCGGCGTGGAAGTCTCGTGCATTCCAGACTTTCGAAGCGATGCATATGTGACAATTCAAAGGCCCCCAAATGCTACTCGTCGCTGTTGGACTGTGGACACTCAGGCTGGCTTAGGACGAATCATCTCGACCCAAACTCCCCGACTCGAAAGACCCCTGTTATGAAGGGATGGCCAAATGTATGCATGCATGGTTGCTGACTTGGGAATGAGACAATAGGCTGACCCTGAATATACCCATCATAGGGGTGACGGCTCAACGACTGACACTGCCTCGACACCTATTCGCAGTGCTCGGAACTGGGCCAAGGTAATCGGTAAGACCGACTGCCCTCTCTGCCATCCAGACGCCGGAGATACGACTTGGAGGTATTACAAAGCGCATCCTTTGCCGCCGGACAAGGGAGATTACTGACGCGGGACGGCTGCTCTTCGACCTGCTAGTGTCGGCAATGCTGCTGGTTCGCCTGAGGCCAACAGCGGACGAAGGAACGGTACCCCGACCAGGACGGCTCACAAACGAGACATGGTCCTAGGAATTCGGAGTCCAGCACCTTCCGAAAAAAAGAAAAAAAAAAAAAAAAAACGTAGGCACGAGACGAGACACGACGCCCAATGGAACTAGCAAAGGATGAAACATAATTGGCATCGAACCAGTCGAGTTTGCATGCTTGATACTTGAGAGGGAAGAGGGTCCCCGGTTCCGGTCAGTTGCTCACCGAGGAGTCAGACGAGTCCCGGAAGACATTGTTGAGGGCATTGAAGGGGAATTTTTTTACAGAGAGGAAGAAAACCCACCTAGGCACGGCACGGGATGGATGGATAGGCAGGCAGACAACATGCATCGAAGAATTCTGACGCAGCGGCCGGGGCCGGTCCCTTGTCCGTTCAGCTTGATAAAAATCTGGGCTGTTGGGATGAAGAAATTGGATGATGTCTGAGGTGTCAAGTCCAAGTATGGAATAGGGAGCAAAAAAATCTTTTCTTGTTGACTCATCGTCAATAGAGCCGTTCCCTGCTGGCTCTTCTCCCGTTCTCCACTTTTACTGCTTCCCTCAATCGTCAAGATAGGTAGGTAGGTGCCGGTATCACCTTCTGTGCCTTGCATGAGCCTGGTTTGTTTTTGGTCTCTCCGGGCATGAAGCAGGAAGAAAATAATTAGCAGGCTAAGGTACGCCATTCTCGCCATTATTATTATCGTCAGTATCACAACCATCCCCAACTTCCCCAGTTTGTTTCCTTCTCTTTTGCGCCAATAATCGCAGAAATACATAGAGGTAGGCTACGAGGAGACTTTCGGACAGCAAGGTAGCGCGCTACTCCGTGATCGCCACGCTATTTTGCAGGAACCGATTTCGATCGCAAACACGCTCCTGCCCACGGGTTACGAAGCACAAGTACTCCATTCTAGGTGCCTAGCATGGTACCTTATCAAGTGCGAGGTAGAAGAGGAGTACGGATAGGTACTTGTCAACCGTTTTTGCTCACGGCCGGCCGGCCTTACCTTACGCACTACTCCGTACGTTGTACGATCGGTACATTCCGTGGTGGCCATCAATTAAGGTACTTTTACTCGATCTTTTGTATTGGACTGTCTGTCAACGTACGAGGTATAATACAGAATAGCTCTAGTGTACACCGAGAAACAGGCCATCCCTTATGCGTTTGCCCGTCCGCCCCATCCCGGAGCTGACGTCCCTCATCCCTCAGCCATCGGCGATCTCCTAGGTATCCAAGTGAAGTTGTGTTCTACACGTAGTAGGAGTGGAGGCATAGCGGGTAGGTATTCTTTACCCTTGATAGCTCATGTCTCAGCGGCCGCCTTGCAGACCAACTGTACATAACATCCATAGATAGCTGAACTACACTATAGCCTGTGTGCAGGTGGATTCGTTGAATGAATCGGGATGGTAGTTCAAACCTCCATGATAATTGCTGCGGTTTGTTCGTCCGTGGACTATCCCTGGTCGGCACTCTTATTCTGCAGTCCTTACACCGGAACATACGGGATCTCGGCACTTGATGGTGCCGCCCGGAGCCCCCTGTCATCAAGACGTTTTAGAAATCGCAGGGGGGGGGGGGGGCAATAGTCAGGTCAGCAAGGGGGGTGGGCAATGGTTAGTTGAGCTGTAACCTCGTGCTAAATTTTGCAATCAGCTGCCCACATCAGAAGGTCCTTTAGGGCCATAGTCCTCTATGGCATCATTAACATAAAGGTAGGGTATAGAGCTGGTGTTTATTTGTGGTACATTTAGTGTTGGCGCCATGGCCGGAATGTAATCAGCGACATCTCAGGACCGGACCGCCAAGGGAGGTTACTAATACGAGTTGCGTGACAGACCAGACAAAGTCGATCAAAGTCAGGAGGTCTGCTCCGGATACCCAGTTGGAAACGAGATTCCGCATTTCCACACAAGTTACGGATATGTTCTCTCTGTAAGGTATGGAAGGTAGACAAGGACTGATTCAGATACCCCGGGCTGAGAAACGGGGTTGTGGTGAGCATAGCAATGGCGCAATCTGGCACTAAGTTATAGCACGTATTTGGGGAGTATGACATCGTGGCCTCCTCCCTCAGAAAACGCAATCCGTCTCCGCCAGGGTAAAAGTACTCTTCCACAGGACCCCCTCTTTCCTTATCCCCCCC